CAGCCCCTACCTGGTTTCCTCTTGAGTAGGTGCTGTGCTTCGATGGCAGTGATCTGGGACACAGTTGTGAAGACATGAGCACAGTGGGCTGCTGCCCGCTCCATGCAGTAGCGGTGATAGATTTGCCTCTCGCCTGCTTCCTTGTCCACATTGAACTGGGGGGGAGGGGAAGGCAGTCATGTTAGAGGGACTGGGGAGAAAACTGGAGATCTGAACTCCAGGATCCTGAAGGAGATTGGGGCTGGTAGCTGGTCTCCTGGGTCTGAGGGAGGGAGGCTGGGATGCCTAGACTCCTAGTCTGAAGGAGAAGGGACTGGGTCTGCACTCCTGGGTCTGAGGGAGGAAGGGCTGGGAGCCTGGACTTCTGGGTCTGAGGGAGGAGGGTCTGGGTCTGGACTTCTGGGTCTGAGGGAGGAGGGGCAGGGTCTGGACTTCTGGATCTGAAGGAGGAGGGGCTGAGAGCCTGGACTCCTGGGAGAAGAGGGAGCTTGATCCCCCTGGGCATCCAGAGCTTTGGGCTGTCCTGACATACTTGCAGTCCCCCACTTGCCACACCCCAGCTCACATTCTCCAGGTTGTTGTAGAAGTCCACAGCACCAGCACACAGGTAGCGCCCCAGCAGTGTGGCGTGGGTGGTGAAGATGGTCGCCACAGGTAGTCGCCGGGCACGGCACAGGCAGAGTCCAATGCCCGCCAGCCACTCGTGGAAGTGTGCAACCACATGCGGCTTCTCCTCGCTCTGGGCTAGGAACTGTGGGGCAACGGGACAGGGCGTCTTAAGAGAGTTGGCCATCCCAACATGGACGACAATTCAGGAGAGAGATCAATTTGTCAGCGCTACCGCATAGAGTGGGCAGTGGCCCACTGCAGCAATCCCCACAGGACATGGAACCATACACTCCCGAGGTAGCCAGACCAGCTGACTGTACCCCCAGAGGTTGATGGGAACTGGGAATTTTTTGGCCAGTCTCCTGAGTCTTTGCAAGGTTGGACTGAAAAGACTGACGTTTTTGTGTCCCCAAGTTCTGGGCACAATTCCTGGAGCGAGACCCCCTATCTTAAATCAAGGGTTGGCCTTCTGCACCCAAAACTAGCAAAAGGAATACAATTCCCAGAATGCTCTCACAGCAGCCAGCTCCTAAATTATTTGTCCCAGAGCATGAGAAATTAGCATTTATTGAGCCTTTTAAAACCTAGAAGGAGATAAGAACCAGGATTTCTGGTTCTCAGGCTGGGGTTCCATAAGCATTCAGGACCCCATCTGAGAGCTTAAGTCCAGCCAACAGAGAACTACAACTCCCAGAATTCCCTGGGCGAGCCCTCCAGCCTCACTCAGAGCTAAAGATTCAGAACCCAAACACTTGGAAGACTGGAGTAAATGCAGCTGGCATTGAGCCTTTGGGTCTCTGAGGAAAGATGAGGTTGGGGCCCTGGATGCCCATGTCCCCAAAGTCCAGAGGTAATCTTGGATTAAAGAACTCTACGATGCCCAGAGTGCCCTGGGAGATGCCCATCCTCTGGCCCAGGGGCTGATGGTCATTGTAGTTTCAGGCCTGGGAGGAAGCAAGTCAGATGGGGACCACAGTGGGGCCTACCTCACCCAGGAACCAGGTGGTGAGGAAGCCAAAGAGGACAGCGTCGTTGGCCTCACGGTCGTACCAGGGCACTCCGATGTTGCAGGTATCCCAGAGCTCTCCCTTCCAGCGCTCCAGGGCCCAGGCTGAGGCCCCCACATCCAGGAGCACCACCAGGGGCCCTCCCTCAATCAGCCAGCGCCCGAAATACACCTGCAAGTTAGGGGAGGGGTACACAGGGAGGCTCAGGGCTTTGGCCTCATGTCTGCCTGCATTGGTGGTTCTCCCACCCCTAGGCAGAAGTCTGGGCTTAAGCCTCAGTCCTCTCACCCTCTGTTTCTGTATCTGCTATTCATTTGTCTCCCGCTGTCTTACTTTTTTTTTTTTTTTTTTTTTT